CACACACACACCCCACACACACACACCGCACACACACACACCGCACACACACACCGCACACACACACACCGCACACACACATACCGCACACACACACACCGCACACACACACACCGCAAACACACACATACACACATATATATCATAGACACGCACACACATAGAAGTGCATACATATGCAAATATGCGCACATCCATATACACACACATACACACACGCACACACACATACATAATAAAAATGGAAAAGCATGGAAGAGAAACAAACCTCCATCTGGAAAGTATATGCGCTTTTTCAAAATAAGCAAGATTGCGTTCGTACTGTTCCATATCGGAAGGACACAAAAACCTGGCTGTCCACTGTTTCAGTGGTGTACGTTCAAATTGCCAATATCGTACCGGTGGTCCTTCAGTTGGCAAATCTTGTAATTCACAAGGACCTAAACAGATAAACTTTGAGATGTATTTAGGCACTTAATGCTACCACTAATTAATTTTGTACAGGCAAATGAAGAGGAAGGGGGAAGGAGGGGCGGGGGAAAAAAGTTTGGTCAGCGAATTGAGGGAGGAGGGGAGCCCGGCGATGTCTACCCTCATGGTGAAGCGGGTTCGCGAGAGCCTAAACAGAAAAATTCTGAAAGATATTTAGGCATTTATTGCTACCCTTCAGCGATACTGGTTAAGGTTAAGCTAGTTTATGTTCAGGAAAATTTCAACTCAAAAAACTTCTACAACTTCGGAAATTAAACGCCTAGTCAGCAATCTATTCTCGTAAACGGCTCTTTCTAATAATTAAATATAATGGTTTTCTGTGTCGTGTTTCAACTCCCCCGTTTCCCTTCCTTTTCGTTTGTTCTTTCACGTTTTAACTTCTCTCCTTCCTTTCTCACTTTGTTTACTCCTTCACTTATATCTATTTCTTCCTGTCACCTGTCTTGCAGATTAGACACATGACTATTCAAAACATGGCGGGTAGGAGGCTGTACTGATGATTCCCACTCCTACCC